CTGCATGTACTATTTAGATATCAAACAATTCAATTAAATTAATCCAGCAATTTTCAAATTCTTCTAATGTATCATTTTGTAACGCAATAAATCTTTAAATTTTTAATCTGTTTGAAAAAAAATTCTTGAAGATACTTATATCTGGAGTTTGTTTCTTTATTTTACTGTTATAAAAGTAATATTTTGAAAAGAGAAAAATGTACGATGTTTTCTTATCTTTAGCATGAAAGACAGATGTAAAATTGTCATACGTAACATTTATTGCTATTTCATTAAGCCATTTACAAATGTATATAAATTATTCAAGAATATTTGTACAGTTTGGCAGTCCCAAAATAGGTGCTCTATACTTTCAACATACATACAGCAAAAATCACACAGACTAGATTCGGTTAATTTACATTGAAGCAGAAATTTGTTTGTTGCAACATTCCTGTGTAAAAATATTATATTGAAAGTTTTGTAAAATATTATCTTTGCAATAAACAAGAACGTTTTTTTAAATATTTTTCCATTGAAATTCTTTTTGCGGAAATCGTTCTTCCCATTTCATTTGCGATTTTTTTTAGATTTATTTTTACACAGTCTTATTTGCTTTTGAATCTGTGTTAACTTTTTACTGGTATTGGACGTGTTTGTTTTTTCTATGACATCAAAAGTGCTTATTTCTTTAGGTGTTGAAGTGTTATTAATTTGTTGTAGTTTACGTTTCCATTCTTTGGGTATTGATGAAATTAATTTATAAAAGTTAAATATTTCTGTATCAGGAATGTCAAAAGTAAGTTTCAGCTTGTCAAAGGTTTTAAATTGTTTTGTTTCCTTTATTTTATTAATATTCCGACATTTCCAGTTTGGAAAAGGAATTAAAGAATCATTATTTTTTATGTGTGATTTCTGCCATATCATTGCATCTAATAGATTTTGTGGATTTTTATTGAAATTTACTTTACTCCAAGACAGTAGTAATTATTTTAAGAAAGTATTTTCGATTTTAAATTTCTGTATATTATTTGTGTTTAAATGACTTTTAAATAAGATGATTCCACATAGTTATTGTCAATTTTTCTTTATTATCTCTTTCCACAATCCTTTGATATTAACATCAAATATTCTTTTGATCCAGCTTGATTTAATCGAGTTCAAAAAAAATGGCACATCTATCATATTAAATCCTCCATATTTAAAGTCTTGTATAATTGCATCTCTTTTTAACTTTGTCTCTTGTTGAGTGCCATATCAATTCAAAACAGTTCTGTGTAATTGATTTCATGATTTCTTCTGGTGTACTCGGATATTATTAAGGTTAGTTTTGGAATAATTAAGGATTTTAAGATTGATAAATTGCCAATTGTTGTTAAACCTATAAATGTCTGCTTTAATTGTTTTAATTTATTCTCGTAATTTAGTTTGGTTATTTAATCACATTTTGAATGGAAATTTATGGAAACAAATAATTGCAAATATTATTCAGCAAAGAAATAAAACCATAATTTACTTTAAAGTTAACATAACATAACATTTTTACAACTTTATAGTTTTAACATATTTTTTACAAACAATATTTACAACATATATTCATATCATATCTCATTGTTTAGTAACCAGTCAACTGTAATACAATGCAATCATCTTTCATTTAAAACACAACAGTCTTTTGTTGCCTTTCACACCGTCACACCTCTATTCAATTTATACCAAAGTAAATAACAATTTTTTATGGTGCTAACAATATCACTTGAAATAGGATTATTTAGAATAGAAGCAATGAATTATTGATTATTTTGCTCTTTTACTAGTAAATACAAAGTAATTAAAGATTTTAATAAGGATATTTTAGGGTAAATAGTTATTGAGTCTGTTTATCTCAATTTAATTTTTACTTAAAGTCTTTGGTGCTTTTATTATGATGAATACTATGTTAACATTTGAAGGAATATTACAGCAAATTATATATAGATTTGATAACTTACTTTTTCACAAAAATAAAATAATGTAATTTACAGCTTTATTTTTTGAGAAAAATTGATGCTTTTTTTATCAAAACCAAAAGTACTGCCTAGTAATGCAGTATCAGTACCACTTTTTAAGACAGTAATGCAGTACCAGTAGTAGCAAAATTTCGTAAGAGTAATTCAGTATCAGTACCAGTACTTTCGAAATCGCTGCAGTATATACTGCAGTACCCGTACCAGTAATGCAGCTCTGGTTACATCGTCTGCAAACATGCTAATTTTAACTTCTACATTGAATATTTTGTCTTATAGCTATTGACAGTACTTTAATTGCTAGGATAAACATATAAGGAGATAATGGACATCCTTGTCGTACTTTTCTTTTTATAGGGAATGACTCAGACAAACAAGCAATTATCATAGTATTGCGAGCAATCCATAAGTCCCCTACCGGATAGAACCCCATCAGCATTCTGAAGGGCCATTGGCCATTCACTAATGTGTAAATTTTTCTCTATTTTAAGTAAATTTGTTGGAAATGTTCTTTAAAAGTGATCACAGGAAAAAGTTTATATGAACAGACAGACAGACGGACTGAAGGACACTCTAAAGTTAATATTTGAAACATCCCTGTTACCAAAATATAACATTTTAAAAAGCAAAATTCTTAAAGAGGAGATAACTCTGGAATTAAAGATGCAATTTCATAAAAAGTTTCAGCTCTACTCTAAAGTTAATATTTGAAACATCCCTGTTACCAAAATATAACATTTTAAAAAGCAAAATTCTTAAAGAGGAGATAACTCTGGAATTAAAGATGCAATTTCATAAAAAGTTTCAGCTCTTTTTGACTAATCACAAATATTGTTATATTTGCCATGTTTTAAGCCTATTTGTTGCCAAGGCAACCAATATTTTTTCAAAATAGGAAGAACAGATAAGACATGCATAATATCAAGACTGCCATCTACCCATATGTCAAGTTTCATAAAAATATTTCCAGTACTTTTTGAGTTATCACCGGATTCAGTTTATGTGTAAAATTTGCCATATTTTCAGTCTATGTGTTGCCATAGCAACCAGAATTTTCAACATAGGAAGAAAGGAAAAAGACGTGTATAATCTCCAGACTGCCATCTACACATATTGCAAGTTTCATAAAAATATTTCTATTACTTTTTGCGTTAACACTGGATCCAGTATATTTGTAAAAATTGCCATATTTTCAGTCTATTTGTTGCCATTGCAACCAGAATTTTCAACATAGGAAGAAAGAAAAAGACGTGCATAATCTCCATACTGCCATCTATCCATATATCAAGTTTCATAAAAATATTTCCAGTTCTTTTTGCGTTAACACTGGATCCAGTTTATGTGTAAAATTTGCCATATTTTCAGCCTATCTGTTGCCATAGCAACCAGAATTTTCAACATAGGAAGAAAAGAAAAAGACGTGCATAATCTCCATACTGCCATCTATCCATATATCAAGTTTCATAAAAATATTTTCAGTACTTTTCAAGTTATCGCGGGATCCAGTTTTGTGGACTGACGGACTTACAGACGGACGGACAGACAGACGGACGGACGGACAGACGGACGGAGGGTAAACCTAATGTCCCCTCCGGTAAACCGGTAGGTGACTAAAAAACCATTGTAAACTATGCAACTCGTGGGTCGTTTGTAAATAAGTTTAATCCATTTGGTCCAAAGTTAAAAAGATTTATGTTTTCAATACGTATTTGTAGCTTATGCTATCGAATGCTTTTCTAAAATCAGCAAAGAATAGAAGTCCCGGTTTATCATTCTTTTCTGCATACTTTATCACATCATATAGTAACCTTATATTTTCACCAAAATATCGCCCTTTGAAACCTGTTTGACTGTTATCAATTAATGTATTTAATACCCGTTTAATTCTATTAGCGGTAACCTTTGTAAGTTTTTTATAATCTACAATCAGCAAACTTATTTGTCGTCAGTTTGACAATATTTATAAATCTTTATTTGGTTTTGGAATTAGAGTTATTAAACCTTGTGCTGGTAGTTGACTGAGACAATTAATTTCCAGAGAAAAGTTTAGAGCACTTATCAAATCATCTTTTAAATATATCCAAAATATTTTATAAAATTCTATACTTAAACCATCTGAGCCTGGACTTTTTCCAATTTTTCATATATTTGATGGCAGTTTAACATTCAGTTTGTGCAATAATTCTAGATTCTAACTTAATGTCCATATCCATGTCAAATTGAACTAACATTGATGTAACAAAATGTTTGGTATAGTCATTTGAACACATACCTTTCTGTATGTACCCTTTCTCTGCAGTAACAAAACGGATAAGCAAATTCATTATTTAAATTGTCAACAACAGCCGCCTCATGGAATCTTAGTTGACAATCATATTTCATCTGAAACAAGAATAAAACCTTTAAAAATTGTATTTATTTCATAACTTTTGTAATGTATATTATTTAATTCATTTTAATCGCCAATTCAGATGTGACAGGAATAATATTGCATTACAATGAGAACGCAATGCATAAACCTACTTTTTATCACATTTTAGAAAAAGCTTTCGGAGAAAAATATAAATAATTAAATATGATCTTATTATTTCAACAATTGCCTATATGTTATTTTACAAAACAATGAACTGACATTCTTCAAAGATGTACCACAGACCGTTTTTATTATTGCTTATTAAAGATACCACAAAAAACATATAATGCACTGCTGATACAACTTCTTTATAGATACATGTACATTACTCATTAAGAGTTATCTAGTAAAAGATTTTTTTTAGCTTTAAGAAGGGATACAAAATTGGTTAGTGAATTAATTTATATATTATTGTGGCATGTTGTCTACTTTTTTTTTTCTATAAACTTGGCATTTGGTATAAGTGAAAGCAAAAAAGACTGTACAAGTTTGCACAGTTCCAAGTAAGAGGGTCAGACCTGTACAATTATCAAATAACAAATGTTTTCAGGCATACATTGAACTGATTTGTTCTGTAAATACAGATAATATCTGAACTAAAGTTAACAAACCCTTTTTTTTATAGATTAACATATAATTGCTTATTTTATTACTGGTATGTTAATATAGAAATGATATATAAATTATCCAATCATCTTATTTTAAAACAATCGTTTTGAGAATCAAGTTCTTTGGAAAATACGATGATTTATAGTTCATGACAACCTAAACTTACCGTAAACAAATTCGGCAAGACTTCTCTTGTTTTTTAAATGAACTTAAAATCTGTCTCAAGTTTACCCAAAGACTATTATTTACCTGATTTCTATAAAACGCTTATTAAAAATCGATTTTATTTAAAAATATTAATAAGAAGCAGCCCAAACACGGCTTTAATATTCGCAAAGAAATAATTTGGGGTAATGAACAGTTTTTATGGAATAAAAACTCTTTATATTTTCATAATTGTATAAACTCTGACATAATTTATGTAAATGATATAATGCAAATGGGTAGATCAGTGAACATCTTTTTCTTTCAAAACTCAGAAATAAATCAAATTGGCTTTCAAAATTTATTAGCTACGAAAAGCTACAACGCAACTCTGGAAATTCATCTTAAAATCTGACAAATCAACATTAGGGTTACGACTAACTTATCTTCTTTACTCATAATATAATCGAACAAAGAAATGTATAAAAACATACTAAGAATCAATAAACCAGAATAACATACATTCATTGCTTATAGGAACTTTTATTTGAATATAACACTCCGTGGATAAAATATACCTAAATATAAAATCAAGCATTGACAATAGATACAAACAGTTCTGTTATAAACACATTCATAATATAATACCGACAGGGGATAACTTATATAAATGGAAATTGAAAAAAAAACAATCCGAAATGCGTATATGCAATTATACTGATAGAACAGAACATTTCTTTATTCATTGTAAATCACTAAATGCTTTATCGAAAATAATTATTGAAACGTTTAAGCCGCTAGAAATCTGTAAACATATTTTTAATCTCACAAATATTGTACTAGGTTATAGTTTCGAAAATACGTAGCAAAAATTCATTTGATCATTACAATTATTGGCTTTAGTATATACACATCTTATATGATGAGTTACCAACGTGCCGATGCCATAAACACTTAAGGAATATTTCTACACGAACTTTACAATATGAAACTATACCTGGTCCATTAGAAATATAATTCTCATTTTATCAAACGCCTTACAACAAACTTTTAATATTTTTAGACATGTTAAAAGATACTTATTGTGAGTAGAATTATGACATAATAGTTTATTAACGCTATGTTTACCTTTTATCTAAATTGCAATTCTTAAATAATATCATATTGGATATGTTAAAAGTGCTTACTGTACAAATAATATATGCAAATGTTCTTAAATTTTAAAATAAGAAATAAAAAAACTTACTCTTCTTATACATGAATAGCCCTTCCTCAAACATTCTTTGTAAACCATACTTCCGTATCCGAAAACAGTTATTCTTCCAGATTCATATTCTATTGATTGTAAATCCAAACTGAAACCTGACAGAAAATTTATTTCTTGAATATAATTTTCTACATGAGTACATTATTCGCCATAGCTAAAATTAACAGATATATTTAACTAAATTCCCCAATTGTTTAACCAATCCATGTGTAGTGTGTTGCTTTCAGCTCTGTAAGCCAATCTTCTATGTATAAAGCATGCTGTGCCCATTTCTATATAAATGACCTTATGAACATAAAATGTTTAATGCAATCAGTTGTTAAACTTCACTTAGATAAAATATTGCTTACATTAACTCGTGATCTTTTTTAAATCAACTTGTTATACTTATTTTCTCTAGAGGCTAGGAAAAATATTTACCTAAAAAAGGGATATAGAAAAAATAAAATAAGACACTTCAATTACAGCTGAAAAGGCTGTTGCTATTTATTACGTTTAAAAGAATAATGAATTTTATGAATCAGTTTTCTAATCTATATCAAAATGGGACATGGCTGCATTGCTGATCATTGGTAATTTTCATGATCTTTGCATTCTGACTACCACGTGATATAATATTAAGTCAGAGCGGCAGTCGGAAAATAAAAATATAACTGGCATGCCAAAAGTATGTTAAAACGAAGTAAACCCGAAATTTCCAACGTTTCAACACCACTTTATATATGTATTGTATAATGTACTATTACATTATACAAAAGGAAGAGTAGATAAGTAGATTTATTATTTGAAAATAATATGCATTCGACTAATTCGAATAATATGATTGACAGTCGTGGCCTAGTGATGCATAATGTGAAGATTTTCAAACTTACTCTGCCTTGCCCTATCATGAAATATTTTTGCAGGATATACTAGAAATATTTAGAATAGTACATTTTTAATGAATACATTTTTGTACCATGTTGTTGCAGAGTAAAATCTATAATTATATGGCGGGAGCGATAAAATCTGACAACTTCCGGTTTACTTTACGAACTTGGCCTGTTGATAAATCAGCATCATTAAGATAGCATGTTTTAAATAAATAATTATATGTTATTGATTTGATAAAGATAAGTAATAAATGTTTTTTTATTCAAATTGTTCCCGAGAAAAATTATTGTTTGAAGTAATTTTATAAGATTTCGAGTCATTTCGTCCACAAGACGTTTCAGACTCAACTCAATATTTCGACTGCAAGACCAAACGACCGAGGGATAGCTGTAGCAGTTAGCAGTTGCAGTAGAAAAATAATTAAACGTGAAGTTGGTAGTAGCAGTTGCACAACAGTAGCTGTAGCAAAAGTATAAAACGTGAAATTGGCAGTAGCAGCAGCTGTAGCAGTAGCACAGCAGTAGCACAGCAGTAGCACAGCAGTAGCAGTAGCCTAGCAGTAGCAGAAGCAATAACACAGCAATAGCAGTAGCACAGCAGTAACAGTAGCACAACAATAACAGTAGCACATAAGTAGCAGTAGAACAGAAATAGCAGTAACTGTAACAGTGTAGCAGAAGTACAGAAACGCATTTTCGCGATTTTACTAACGCGGTGTAGAGGGAAAAGGCCGCAAAATTATAGCGCAATATTTCGCCCTATTGACTGAGATTTTGAAAACCCGTTGTATATACCTCAGGGTGAATAGGCGTAAACGCAATACTGAAAGCACAGTTTTCGTTTTGCATTGCGATTTAGCGTCAATATATCGTGTTACAATCGCCCTTCGGACGTCAGTTTAAAAGCAAGCTGACCCTAATTTAATACTATGATGAACAGTCACTCCACTACGGTTTTACATACGAAAACCAAATTGTTTCATTTCGTTTTATATTTCAAAAACAAAAAAGGGCCGTTGTTATCGCAAAAACAGTTTTAAAGATTGTTTACTCTCGTATGCAAAAAAAGGAATTTTGCAACGAATGGAATTATTTGAAAAAAAGGAGAATCATACATTAACTAAGGATTACATACATGACATTCTGTATTATGCGCACTCGGTCCTGCTTAGTGTGAGCTGCCTTATGTTTTATTGCATATAATTCTCAGCCGGAAGTTAGAGTAACTTCACTGTAGAGATTCAGGAAAACAGAACGAGGATGGTTTCTTGGACACAGTGAATTTGTGATCTATATATAAAAGCACAGCGACTGCTACTATTTCAATGGCTATTAAGTTTTTATAGGTTATATACTTGGAAACAGAAAGAAAAAAGTAATCATAAAGCAGACTGCAGTGGACAGTAAGGTAATGTGCCGTAGGCAGTAAGCAGGGTACAGACGACAGGATACCTCGGGTACCCTTTCGTGCATTACTTCAGGCATTGTTGTTTTATATTATGCATACGCTGTATTTTCTGGTATTTCCCGAATATGTCTCGCAAATTTACCCCGATTCCTGAGTAATATAACTAATATTTTAGCATAAGAATATCATTTTTCATTGCGCCATCCTATTTATTCTACTCAATTGTAAGAAACAAGTTGTTTGGAATACACCATATATCGTGGCACATATATTCGCATCAATGTAAATATCAACATACAAATGCTGTACTAAATGTACTTCTGAAAATAATTACAAAAACTCATCATGTTTATTATTGCATATTTGAAATTGTTTTTCGGGGTTTGCCCATTTTAATTCCATTTACATGTGCATTGACCAAAGGCCAGTTATTTCTGATTTGCTGGAACAAAAAAAACAATTTATACTACCAACCAAAACCATAAGAAAATATAGAAAAATATATCTAAGTTACATACCTAATTCCGGATTCAAAACTGACTTTGACTCGTTTAATCATTTTATAGCTAAAAATATATTTTGTATATATGTCTCTGGTTTTTATAAAAAAAAAATAAATCTTGTCAATTTTTGTAAAAATAAATTACAACGTTATATTCGTTCATGAAATCGATTATCTGGATTATTAAGAAGTATTCAGCCAGCATTGCGAATGCAACCGATCTTCGATATTGAAATTAAAACTATAAAGATACAATTACATATATGATGGAACAATATTAATATATAACATGGTTGATTTTTTCTCTAAAAATACCAATGTATGTCTGTATAATCTAGAATGATTGCTTTACTCAAACCAGTTTGTGATTCTAAAATATGTGTTGTTTTTTATTTAGAAATTAATGTTGAATATCGACAAGTACACTGAGAATTGTCAAATTGTGGAAGTCGTAAGACATGTAAGATAATTGATTGATGAAAAAATATATATATTATGTTTAATATTATTCATGTCACTGTTCAGCTATTTCTGTGCCACTGAAGTGATACTGCCACTAAAACTGCTACTTCTACTGCTACTGCTGTACTACTGTAACTATTTTGCTACTGCTTCTGCTGTGCTACTGCTACTGTCAATGTTTTCGTTTAATAATTTTAGCTACTGTTGCACTAAATCTACTGCTGTTCTACTGCTACTGTTCTGCAACTGCTACTGCTGTACTATTGCAGCTGCCAATTTCACGGTTTTTTTTGCTACTGTCAATTTCATGTTTTATAATATTGCTACTGCTACTGCCAACCACATTTGTTTTATTTAATTTGTTACTGCTACTGCTGTGCTTGTGCCTTCGGCTACTGCAAATTTCACGTTTTATAAATTTGCTACTGATACTGCTTTGCTACTACCTACTGCTACTGCCAATTTTACGTTTTATTATTTGCTATTGCTACTGCTGTGCTACTGTAAGTACCATCTTTAAAATGTTGTTACTGCTTCTGATGTGCTACTGCTACTGCCAATTTCACACTACGCTACGGTTGTGCTACTGCTACGTCTCTGCTACTGCTACTGCCAACGTCACTTTTTTTAAAATTAGCTACTGCCACCACTGTTGCTCTCCTGTTCCTGCAAATATCACGGTTTATAATTTTGCTACGGCTACTGCTGTGCTACGGCTAATGCTGTGCTACTACTACTGCTGTGCTACTGATACTGCCAATTTCACGGTTATTACTTTTGCTATTGTAACTGCTGTGCTTTAGCAACTGCTGTGCTACAGCTGCGCTAAATCTACTGCTAATCTACTGCTGCTGCTGCTGTGCTTCTGCTACTGCGGTGCTACTGCTGCTGCCATAATTTAAGTTATATTTATTTTTTTTTGGTACTACAAATTTCACGGTCTTATATCTTGCTACTGCTGCTGCTACTGCAAACAACACGTTTTTTAAATTTACTACTGCTTCTTCTATAAAAATGCTACTGCCAATTTCACGTTAAATGATTTTGCTTCTGTAACTGCTGTGCTACTGCTGCGCTAAATCTACTGCTGATCTACTGCTGCTGCCGATTTTACGGGTTTTTTTGCTGAGACAATTTCATGTTTTATCATTTTATTTTGCTACAGCCAATACTGTGCTACTGTTACTGCCAGTTTCACCTTTTATAAATGTGCTACTGCTATTGCTGCGCAACTACTACTCATGATGTGCTACTTTCACTGCTGTGATATTGATTCTGCTACTGCTCCGCTACTGCTACTGCCAAATTCACGTTTTATAATTTGCTACTGCTCCTGCTGTGATACTGCCACTGCAAATTTCACGTTTATTAATATTGCTACTGCTACTGCTGTGATACTGCAACTTCACGTTTCTTACTGCTGCTACTGTATACATACAAGACCGATTTGAAACAATTGAGACAATTCACAGATGTACGTCCTTACAATGGCGACTTTCGTAAATATTCGCACAATTTGTTTGGGCTCGTTTCTTTACAAAATGGGTCCCATTTTCTAAATATTTCAGAATAGTTTTTATACATGTTTTGCCATGCATTTTAGCAATTTTATGCCTTAATATATTCAATGAATGATTGGAAAAGTAATGTAACATTAAATACTATTCCAAAAAGCCTCATATACATTCAACAATGTCCATGTTTGTTTTAGTTTAATTCAGTACCTGAAGAGTTATTTACCTTGACATAGTTTTTTTTAACACTTTTGTCTTGCGAAACTCGAAAAATATTTAACCAAGAGTCATGAAAATTTAACAGAAATATTGGTCAGAATGTGTAGTTGTGCATCTA